TTCGCCTCTTCTCTATCCCAAGGTGGAATGTGGCTGAAATAGGGGAGGTCTCTGTACGGGGCGTAATCGGTGGTTTCGTTTGCTTTCCTTCTCTTTTACAGACCACCTCCCACCTATAGCTTCATAACTGAACGCTTTTCCACACCTATTTTATCCCGAATCTTGCCTTTAAGGCTACCCAACGACTGGAAAGGAACGATCTCTCGGTTCACTGCTTCTGATTTCCCAAAGCTGTTGCTCCTGAGTGACATCCAAGCCGGAGGAGTTAAGACTTACGGAATCGAGCGTAATTCAACGTCCGTACCAGTTGACTTCACAAACAATTTCAGTGTTTTCTTCTGCATTGCTTGACTTATTTTCGAATAAATATAGACATACGAATACACAAACTTGATAGCAACTTGTGCCTTTAAAAAAGTGTAGGATAGAAAAAAGTGTAGGATTTGGCAATTCTTTGACAAAGATTTGAACTATAATTCATGCTCAAATACAAGAGCTTTGCAACAGTGTAGCTAATCCTCTTTGCTTACCGGGCACTTTTGACAAGGAAAGTATCCCAGGTCACCATTGCCATTCAAGAGTGGATGTGTATGCCTAAGTGTTCCTTCGAACGCTGACCTCAAATCTGCGGAACAGTTCTCTGAACGGAATACAGGTAAAGCGCAACCGTACTGGTCGGCACTCACAGTCAAGAAGTCTTAGGATCTGCCCCTTGTCATGTTTTCTGTATTGCCTTTCTGGAAATACCGCTAAAACGCCTTGTAAGAGCCTGATTAGCTGTATTCTCGAAGAAAGCAAAACAGTAAGTACGATAAGGGACCGATCCTACGACGTTTTGACTGAGTCCCGACCACTACCGTTGCGCTGTTTTGCTTCATAACTCCGTTCAGAGAATCGTTTAGCAGATTTGGAAGGTAGATTTGAGATCAGCGTTGAAGGCACATCTAAGGTATACATCTTTCTTGAATGGCCATGGCGACCTGGGATCCTTTCCTTGTAAGATTAAATCCCTTGAAAAATTTCTACCGATTTCTTCGAGGTAATTCATATTCAGCTTTAGGTACCGCAAGTGTTCATTGTGATGGCAGTGGTTTTTGCACTTCTGCAAACGGTTGGACTTCTGTTTATTGGACAACCGCTTGAGGTAAGTAAGCGATCCACGTCGGATCTTGAAGACGCTAACCATTTCATTTGCCAGCAACTTGACGTTGATGGTGAACCACTGTGAATCAGGCGACAAATTGCAGCCGAGAAATCCACTATCACCCAGTTTGAAATCCAGAACATTTCTGCTTTTATTCCTATCACTCGCCAGTAATGCTGTTTGGGTGCAGCTTGTCAGTGGATTATACAAGGTTAGCAACTTAAATAGATGTGTAAACCTATCTGAAGCGCTGTATCTGTCAAAGTTTGGTTGAAAAGCCAACATGCACAATCAAGTTTAGAAAATGAGTGCTGTATAAGCAGAGATGTAAAAACCCCCAAAACCTAAGCATAATCCTTCCCACAGTGGGCGGGGCATGCACGGAAGTGGGCGGTGCCGGGAGAAAAACATCCTCTGTTTCGTTTCGGATAGGCCGGGGACCGACAAAAAATTGGGCTGAAGAGGACAATGAAGCCGGATGTCTTGAGATCTAGTCTTCGTTATTCCTGCCGCATCTTATACGAGAAGCTGTGCTTATAATAAAGTTTATATGTCGATACCAGACGTCTGCAATTCCCTATGTGTTATCCATTATTGCCAGCAAAATTAGCACACAGCGTTTTATTCTCGTGGGCTCTTATGTCACAAAAGAAACGTAGTCATTGTGCCTGTCGCCGCTTTCTCAATATTTGACAGAGGGATGTTCCGACCAATGCTTTCAATTTTGTGTTATAACAGTTCCGGTAGGGGTCGGGTGGTGTGATTGACAAGTGCGTGCTACTTGTCACGAGTAAGGTTCTAGGGCCCGAGGTCAGGCGATGCCAGATAGGCCGATGTCAGACTTTGCGAATCGCGCGATTCGCTAGCGTCCGCGGTCGCGTTGCGGTACCAGCCAATTGAGTGATTCACTGGCCGCGACGCGACCGCAGACGCTAGCGAATCGCGCGATTCGCAAAGTCTGACATCGGCCTAAGAATCTCTCAGTGGTTTCCAGTTTGGCTATGTCAGGACTTATTATGGAGAGGGTAGAGCACCACCGTGTAATCTGCTGGCCCCCGCAAATCACTGTACATATACACCAAACCGCATTGAAATGCCACTACGGTTCTGGGAGGACGTCAAATGTGACGACCACAAAAAGATGTGCGATACACTGTCATCGTCTGTTTCGTTCTCGTTCATAACACTAATACATACTGCTATCGTAGCCTCATTCCAGGCGTACGGTCAGAAGTTTCATCGACAGTGATCTCTTCCTATCCCTGGTCGGCTCAGTGGCATCCGTGTTCAACGCTTGCAGCCGTGTCGTATGGGGTGTGGTAGCTGACAAGGTGAGTCTCATTCCAGTCGTGAATCGTCTGCAGCTCCTGCTTACGACCTAATTCAGACGTCCTATCAATTCTCTATGGCGATTGTCTGCACTATAGGAGCATCCCTTGTTTGGCTACTACCAACTGTTCGAGCTGTTGGTGATCCAACCTTATTTCTAGCTGCGGTAAGCACTCTACACTTCGCGACAAGCCAACATTCGTGCAAAGCCATTGGCAGCTTGCCAA